GTCCCATCTTTTCTTCTAATGGAGCACATCCCTCAGGAAAGCCATGCACTCTGAGATTAAATTACCTCAGCAGGTTCTAAAATCTATTGTTCAATTATCGAGACTATTTTGTACTAGATTAAGTGATTTCATTTTCCTAGGGATTTAACCAATCCATTTCTGGGTCTGGCTTCTCACAGGGAACCAGATTTCTCACACAGAATGAAGCTCTCTCACATGAACCTTCAGAGGCTTCCTAACTGTAGCCAGGTATTCACAGAGCAAGAAAGCAGTGAAACAAAGGCTCTTACATATTAAAAACTCAAAAGCAAAGAAAAGTGTGCTGAAAGTATAAATTATACACTCTATGTTCTGGTTGGTTACTCCTACATTATTAGTATTTACCAGTATTTATTTATAAATAAACAATTTAAAAGAATTCAGAGCGTTGCTTATGGGAAAACAGAAACATCAGAGGTGGAGAGCTGCTAGATTTAATTCCATATTCAAATTTAAATCTGAAAAGTAATGGTATATAAACTGAGGCAGGCACTGAGTTAAACCAAAAAAGAGAAGAAGAACAAAGAAAAAAAAAAAAACAGGGAGAGAGAGACTCAACTCAAAACAGTGGCTGCGAGGCCACAGACTCTCCACACTTTGCCTCGCAGGGGTTTCCACCCCACATCTGTAAGCCAGACGATAAATAAAAACATCAAGGCCCTTTCAACGCTAATATTCTAGTATTCTCAGACTTCAGTGAATGATAAATGGCAGGGCACAATTTAGAACAAAAAATGTATTTGTTAGATAAAAGGCAAACTCAAGAGGGCTTGTTTTGTAATGGATGGTTAATGAAATTACACTAATCAGCACAGTAATTTTACGATGACTCTTCAGAGAGTTCACGAAAGATAATACGGGTATTAGGGAATCTATCTCCGTTGATGAGACAGCTTCTTCGACACAGAGCGTGCGTGGCCCCAGCACTAATGACACATGTGGGGTCTGGAGAGCAGTACGTGCTAAGTGTCACGTACAGCTCCTGCTCTGCTGTGCTGGCCAAGTGTCACAACCCACCCTTCCTGCAAACTGGGACAAGTCAGAGACCAAAGAAAGGACCGAACCCAAACTGCTGGCTCCAAAACTGGGTATGCTCGCCCATATCCACAGCTAGATAGCGAAAGGGCTCTAGCGCTTCTAACACAGCTCCTGACAAAGTAGCAGCTCTATCAGCTATGTCTTTTAGTTTGAAAAGATTCTACATTTCAGACTGTTTAACTCACAGACCCTGATGTAAAGGAACCAGTATCTTATTTATTTTTAAAGGGCAAAAGCGGACATGTCTCACAGGAAACAAAAGCCAACACCCCCAATCCTCAAAAGTCAAACATAGCTATCCTATGGAAGCAAGAAAGGGGGACTGGGTTTGGAATAGACCCTGCAGTACATAGAAAGGTTTTTCTTTATGAGTTAACTGCCCTACTGTGCATTAGCGTCCTTCCTACACTTTTTTTTTTTTTTTTTTTTTGACAGGCAGAGTGGACAGTGAGAAAGAGAGACAGAGAGAAAGGTCTTCCTTTGCCGTTGGTTCACCCTCCAATGGCCGCCACGGCGGTGTGCTGTGGCCGGCGCACTGCGCTGATCCGATGGCAGGAGCCAGGTACTTATCCTGGTCTCCCATGGGGTGCAGGGCCCAAGCACTTGGGCCATCCTCCACTGCCTTCCCGGGCCACAGCAGAGAGCTGGCCTGGAAGAGGGGCAACCGGGACAGAATCCAGCGCCCCGACCGGGACTAGAACCCGGTGTGCCAGCACCACAAGGCGGAGGATTAGCCTAGTGAGCCACGGTGCCGGCTCCTACACTGTTAAGATCAGGTAAACAAAAAAAATTTAAAAATTTTTCTAAAGATTTTATTTACCTATTTGAGAGACAGAGTTAGAGAGAGAGGGAGAGATAGAAGAGAGAGATCTTCCATCCACTGGCCCACTCCTCAAATGGCCACAATGGCCAGAGGTGAGCTGAACCGGAGCCAGGAGCCAGGAGTCCAGGAGCCAGGAGCCAGGAGCCAGGAGCCAGGAGCCAGGAGCCAGGAGCTTCCTCCAGGTCTCTCATGTGGATGCAGGGGCCCAAGCACTTTGGCCATTTTCCACTGCTTTCCCAGGCCATAAGCAGAAAGCTAGATCAGAAGCAAAGTAGTCAGGACACAAACCGGCCTCCATATGGGATGGTGATGCCACAGGCAGAGGCTTAGCCTACTACGCCACAGCGCCAGCCCCAAAACTTAAAATTATTAATTGAAGCAACTGATTCGTATTATTTGATCAAAATATAAGCATCTTAAGATCACACAATCAGCAAACATAAATTGGAAGGAACCAAGTGAAATTAGTTAAGTCACTGGTGTAATGCTTGAATTCTCTCCATGTACTTAGCATGATCCAAGGCAAAGCTCTTCTAAGGAAGAGGTATGCTATAATCTCTAGTTACCCAATGTAGGAAGGAGTCTAGGGAAATACAAAGCTACAAGACGACACCTGGCAATGTGGAAGAAAATAGTAACTCAAAAATCTATTAAATACGTGGTATATCGTAAGACCCACCTGACTGCCTCAATGCTCTATTACCAAAGGAGGAAACTCAGGCACAAAGAGATTAATCTGCCCAGAGTCACTCAGCAAGCAGCAGAGCTCACATTCAAATAGCACTGATATGAAAACTCAAGGTCCCCACCACTCCTCTATCAGTCTTCCTGCAGGGCCTGTGACCACCTACAAGTGGATCCCCTGGGGTGTTTGTAAAAAGGAACATTCTAGATTCTTACTTTGTACCTCTTAAATTATAAACCCTTACATTACAAACCCTTACCTCTTAAATTACAAACAAATTCCTTAGGGTTCCTAGGAATCTGCACTTTTTCCATAATGCTAAGGTTTTTATACACAAGTTTGAGAATCACTGTTCTAAAAATGAACTTCCAGGGTAGGCATTTACCCTAGCAGTTAAAATGCCCATTGACTCACAACACAGTACCTGAGTTTAATACCTCGTTCTGGCTCCTGAACCCAACTTCCTGCCAATGCAGACCATGAGTGGCAATAACGTGGTCCCCGTGCCACCATGTGGGAGATGTGAATTGTGTTCCTGGTTCCTAGATCAGAAGGCATTTGAGGACTGAGCCAGTAGATGACCCTCACTGTGTCTCACAAATAAAATAAAAGTGAAAGTATTCTGATACATGGAGTAGTAGGTAGGTGCAGACAGTGCCTCAGCTCTGCCTCATGCCAAGCCTTATGCCAGATTCTGGGAGACAAAGACTGATCCCTCTAAGGAGCTCACAGTTCCTAAAGCTGGCAGACATGCCAACTGACAACTCCAGTCAGTGATGTACACTACCGCTCTGACCACACAGAACGTGTTTTATATAAACACAGAGATCCCAGAAGAACATACCTTGAAATATAAAAAACATTCTAACCTGGACTAGGATCAAGTTAAGAAAGAACCTGGCTCTGGGGAGGATGTGTGCGGGGTATGTGCAGGCAGTGATGAGGGAGGAACCTCTGCAGGGCCAGAGTGGGAACAAAAACGATTCAGCACAGACGCTGACTTCTGAGCTGAAGAACAGACAATCTCCAGACGCAAGGGCAGAGTGAGGACAGGGGCGTCTGGTGGGAAGGTGAGACTGGGGTCTTCAAGCAGGAGTCGGCAATAGTCCTTGGGCCAGATCAAACATCAGGGATATTACTCTTCATTCCAGGGATCCTGGACTTAAACCAAATGGCAAACGGGAAAGAAATGAAGCTCTTTAAAAATATGTAATAAGATCATAATTTCAAAGACATTTTGGCAGCAGGCTAGAAAATGACCAACAGGATTAAAGGATTACCTATGTCCACACGAAAGCTTGTACATAAATGTTCATTGCAACAACAGTTGTAACAGCCAAAAAAGCAGGAGAAACCCCAACTGCCCACCAATAGAAGACTGGGTCAACAAGACACAGCCTCCAGACCATGGATTATTTAGTCTCAAAAAGACCGAAATACTGAAATACACTACAACATACACAAACATGAAGAACACATGATGCTGGGGTAGGCATTCAGCCTAGTGGCTAAGACATTTGCATCCCACAGCAGAGTGCCTGGGTTCAACTGCCAGTTCTAGCTCCTACCTCCAGCACCCTGTCAATGCAGATCCTGGGAGGCAGCAGATGACAGCTCAAGCAACTGGTTCCTGCCACTCATGTAGGAGACCTGGACTGCAATGCAGGCTCCTAGTTCTGACATCAGCCTAGTCCTGGCCATTGTAGGCATTCAGAGAATGAAGCAGTGGTTGGGACACTGTCACTCTGCCTTTCAAATAATAATACTTTAAATTTTTTAAAAACTGATATAAGTGAAAGAAGTCAGTCACAGAAGATGATTTCATTCATATGAAATGTCTATAATATGCACATCTACAGAGAGAGAGAGAGGAGAATAGTGATCGCAGGCCCTACAGGGCAAAAGGGGAATAACTGCTAATAGGTACAGAACTTCTTTTTGGAGTGGTGCAAACATACCAAAACTGTATAGTGATGGTTGCACAACTCTGAAAATACACTAAATTTTAAATGGACAAACTATATCATATGTGGTATATCTCAATAAAAATGGTCAAGGAAAAAAATTGTGGAATATTAATATTCATATATGCTGGAGACTGCAGTTCTTGACCAAACCAGTAGCCAGACACCAGTGTTGATATTCTCGACATTCAGCAGAGCTCAGAGTATCCATTTCATACCTGCTCTCAGGTCTGACAAATCAAAGTCCTTTGCGCTGCAATTTTCTGTCTCCCCTAACTTAGCACAGAATTTTCAAGGATCACCTATGCTGTATTATGGATCAAAACTTCCAATCCACAAACAAGGATGTCTTTGCAATTATTTTTATTTTAATTTCCTTTATCAATATTTTGGATTAAGACTTGTGCCTCAGTAGACTCACAGAATGACAACTGCCCTAAACAGCACTCTGGCCTCAGAATCAGCCCTTAAGGCATTCAAATCTGGCTGAAAACCCCATGAGAGCATTTCAGGCATGGAAAGCCAAGACACTGGCAAAAAAGATCTACATGAAGGATCTCTGTGAGTGAAACCCCAGTGGAAAGAAGGGGCCATCAAAGGAGGTACTTTTCTCTGAAGGGAAGAGAGTACTTCTACTTTCCTTATGGCCCTTGTAAATACTGACGGAGTTTATGGACTCAAAAGGCTTCCATAGCCTTGGCAGCTCATGACAAGAGCCTCGGGTGATCACTGACTTCATAAATAAGAGTGTCAATTGTTAAATCAACAATAGGAATCACTGTGCACTTGCTCCCCATGTAGGACCTCTGTCCTTATTGAGTTGTACTATCAGAATTAACAGTAAAACTTGTCTTCAAACAATACTTTATACTTTGTGTGTCTGTGTAGGTGCAAACTGTTGAAATCTTTACTTAGTACAGAGTCGGTCTTCTATATATAAAGCTAAATGAATCTTAATGAAGAATGGGATGGGAGAGGGAGTAGGAGGTGTGATGGGAGTTGGGGTGGGAGGGTGGGTGGGGTGGAAGGGTGGGTATGGGGGGAAGAACCAGTATATTCCTAAAACTATACTTATGACATTTGTATTTATCAAATAAAAGCTAAAAACGAAAAACAAAACAAAAAAAAGACTTGTACCTGCTTGGTTAACTTTATTCCTAAGTGTTTTGTTCCTTTTGATGTTATAAATAAAGCATTGTCTTTTTTTTTTTTTTAATTAACTTTGTATTTATATGAAAGGCAGAGAGATAGACAGAAAGTGAGACAGAGAGGTAAATAGAGCTCTCCCATCCACCAGTTTACTTCCAAATGCCCTGGGTAGCCAAGACTGAACCAGGCTAAAACAAGGTGGTTTACTCCCCAGATGACCACCAACGGCCAGAGCTGTACTGATCTGAAGCCAGGAGCCAGGAGCTTCTTCTGGGTCTCCCGTGTGGGTACAGGGACCCAAGGATTTGGGCCATCTTCTACTGCTTTCCCAGGCCATAGCAGAGGAAAGATCATATACAGATCAGAAGTGTAGCAGCCAGGACTTGAACCGGTGTCCATATGGGATTCCAGCACTGCAGGCGGCGGCTTTACCAGCTACGCCACAGCACCGGCCCCCATTTATTTCTTCTTTAATCTTTATTACTACTTTCCTTCTGCTTGCTTCAGGTTTAGTTTCCTTTTTCTACTTTCATTCACTCGAGAGGCAGAGAGAGAGTGAAACAGACTTGACAACAAAGAGATTGCTAAAGTCCGGAGCTTGGAACTCAATCCCGTGCTCTTACATGGATGGCAGGAACCCAACCGTTTGAGCCATCACCTGCTGCCTCCCATAGCTTTGCATTAGTAAGAAGTTGGAGTCAGGAGCCAGAGCCAGGATCAGGAGTTGAACCAAGGCACTCTGATGTGGGAAGGAATGTAGGCCAGTATGTCTTAACCCCTAGGCCAAACACCCATCTTTTTTTCCTACTTACTTACAAGTAGATGATTAGATTACTGCATTGGGGTCTATCTTCCTAAAGGCAGGCATTTCTAGCTTTCAGTTTCCCTCTGAGAACCGCTTTCACAGCCTCACTGCAATAAATTTTGGTTTGTTGTTTTTCCAGTCTGTTCTCTTCATGCATATTCTAATTTCCCTTGTGATTTATTCTTTGAACCACTGGTTAAGTGTGTGGTTTAATTTCCATACACATACACATTTTCTAGTTTTTCTTATGATCTCTAATTGTATCTCATTATGATTAGAAGTAACTGAATCAAATGTATATGATTCCAATCTTTTTAAATTTACTGAGATTGGTTTCATGACTGATATACATCCTCTCTTAGAATGTTCCAGGTGCATCTGAGAAGGTGTACCCGGCTGTTACTGGATATAGTTCTATAAATATCTTTCAGGTCCAGTTGGTAAACAGTGTTACTTAAGTCTTCTCCTTGCTGGTTTTCTATCTAGCTCTTTCTCAATCATTTGCATTTTCTACAGTTTTTTTATATGTAAAATATATATAACAAAACTTATCATTTCATCCATTTTAGAAACTTTTTTATTCTAGTAAAATAAAAAACATAACATTTACGATTTTAACTACCTTTAAATATACAGGCCAGTTTGGCTGGCAACGCAGCTCAATAGGCTAATCCTCCGCCTGCGGCACCGACACACCGGGTTCTAGTCCTGGTCGGGGCGCCGGATTCTATCCCGGTTGCTACTCTTCCAGTCCAGCTCTCTGCTGTGGCTCGGGAGTGCAGTGGAGGATGGCCCAAGTGCTTGGGTCCCTGCACCCGCATAGGAGACCAGGAGGAAGCACTTGGCTCCTGGCTTTGGATCAGCGCAGTGCGCCAGCCACAGCGAACCAGCCGCGGCGGCCATTGCGGGGTGAACCAACGGAAAAGGCAGACCTTTCTGTCTCTCACTGTCCACTCTGCCTGTCAAAAAATAAAATATATATGTGTGTGTGTGTGTATATATATATGTGTGTGTGTGTGTGTGTGTGTGTATGCACACACACACACACACACATACATACACAGGTCAGTGGCAGTAAGTAAATCACAGTATCATCACCACTACCCATCTCCAGAGCTTTTTCATCTCACGACACAAAAACTCTGTATCAGTTACACAATGATACCCTTCTCTCCTTCCTCCAGCCTCTGGGAACCATTCTACCTCCTGTGCCTTTGGAAGGGACTATTCTAGGTATTTCACGTAAGTGTAATCATATCATATTTGGCCTGTTGCATTTAGCACAGTATCTTCATGCAGTAACCTGGGTCAGAACTATATTTCCTACTAAGGAAGGCTGATATTCGCAGTGTGTATATACAACATTTGCCCATGTGTTGATGGACAGCTGGGTTGCTCCCACCTTTTAGCTCCTGTGAACTATGCCGCTAGGAGCATGTGTGAAGTGTCTTGTCAAGCCCCGGCTTTCAATTCTTGTGGGTATAAATGTGGAATTAAAAAATCCCAGATCACATGTAATTATATTTTCTTAGAGGTTTTCCACAGTAGCTACTTACTCATCTTATATTCTCCCCACAATGCAAAAGGCTACCCATTTCTCCACAGCCTCATCAACAGTGGATGGAAGCTGGAGACATGTAGGCTCTCAGCAAATCCTCATTCCTTATTAAGAGTTTCATCTATGTCCATTACAATATATTTGATTCTTTGATCTTAAGTGAGCTGAAGATTACCACTTGAAGTCATGCAGAATTTTGTTCAAGAGGGACTTGTTACTGGTAGATCTTAAACTGCTCCTTTACTACTTCATTACCTTTACTGCATAAAAACTACATGCAAATGTTGCAGCTAGTTCCTTTTTTCAGTGAGATGAGGACGGATGTGTTGATACTGAGAACACAGAACTCCTTTCTTCTCATGTACTTTTCTGAATGTGTACCACAGTATGAGAAGCCAGCTGCAGGCTGGACAGAATCTTTGTAACTGAAGATCATAGGTGAGGCAACCAGAATCTAAACTGTATTTTTTGGCACAGAATCTAAACTATATTTTTTGTAATGGATACATCTTAGAAGTTTCCTTTTTATATGGAATGAGAGTCTCCCTTCCAGAGTGATATTTAACATTGCTTAAAACAGAATTGGGTGGGGGGAGCCCATTTGGTGTGGCGGTTAAGATGCAGCTTGGGGCCAGCGCTGTGGAGTAGCGGGTGAAGCCGCCACCTGCGGTACCAGTATCCCCTGTGGGCACTGGTTCTAGTCCTGGCTGCTCCACTTCCAATCCAGCTCTCTGCTATGGCCTGGGAAAGCAGTAAGAGATGGCCCGACTTGGGGCCCTGCACCCATGTGGGAGAACTGGAAGCAGCTCCAGGTTCCTGGCTTCAGACTGGCACAGCTCCAGCCATTATGGCCATCTGGGGAGTGAACCAGTGGATGAAAAACCGACCTCTCTCTCTCTCTCTCTCTCTCTCTCTCTCTGTCTCTCTCTCCCTCCCTCCCTCCTTCCCTCCCTCTCTACCTCTGCCTTTGAAATAAAAAAATCTTTAAAAAAAAAAAAAAAAAAGATGCCACTTGGGACACCTGCACCCCGCACTGGAGTGCCTGGTTTGAGTCCCACATTATCCACTTCCAATCCATCTTCCTGCTCATGTGCGCCTGGGAGGTAGCAGGCAGTGGCTCAAATACTGGGTCCCTGTCCTTCAGTGGGAGATCTGGATTGAGTTCCAGACTCCTGGCTTTGGTCTAGCCCAACCCTAGCTATTGCAGGCATTTGGCAAGTGAGCCAAATAGAAGATCTCTGTCTCTCTCTTTGCCTTCATAATAAAGGTAAAGTAAGTAAATAAAATAAAACCTGAATTAAATATTGAAAGAGACAAAAAGATAGGGTAGGAAATGGCAGAGTATTAAAACAGACCAGATGTGAAATGATTAGGACACAAAGAACAATGGGATGGGAAAATGTTATGAGAAATGATTTAGCTAAAAGCTATAAACAGGGATGAACGTTGCGGTGCAGCATCCCATATGAGTGCTAGTTTGAGTCCCAGCTGCTCCACTTCTGATCCAGCTCCTTGATAATGTACCTGGGAAAGGAATGAAAGATAGTCCAAGGACTTGGGCCCCAGCCACCCAAATGGAAGACCTGGATGGAGTTTCAGGCCCCCCTCTTTGGCCCGGATTAGGCCAGGTCATAGAGGAGTGAACTGGGAAATGTAAGATCTCTTTCTTTTTTTCCTCTCTCTCTCTTTAAGATTCATTCATTTGTTTGAAAGGCAGAGTTACAGACAAAGAGAGGGAAAGACAGAGAGAGAGAGAGAGAGATCATCCATCCACTGGTTCATTCCCCAAATGGCTGCAACAGCCAAGGCTGGGCCAGGTCAAAGCCAAGGGCTTCTTCCAGGTCTCCCATGTGGGTGCAGGGACACAAGCTCTGAGCCATCTTCCACTGCTTTCCTAGGCACTTTAGGAGAGAGCTGGATGGGAAGTGGAGCAGCCAGGATTGGAGCCAGCACCCATATGGGATGCTGGCATTGGCTTAACCCAATACACCACAATACACAATGTCAGCCCCTGGAAGATCCCCCCACCCCCAACACACTGTGTAACTCTTTCAATAATATTTTAATAAACTCTTACTAAAGCACTTAAATAAGTGCTGGGGCCGGTGGGTAAAAGCTGCTACCTGCAGTGCCGGCATCCCACATGGGTGCCAGTTCAAGTCCCGGCTGCTCCACTTCTGATTCAGCTCTCTGCTATGGCCTGGGAAAGCAGTAGAAGATGGCCCAAGTCCTTGGGCCCTGAACCCATGTGGGAGACCCTGAAGAAGCTTCTGGCTCCTGGTTTCAGACTGGCCCAGTTCCAGCCATTGCAGCCATTTTGGAAGTGAACCAGCGTATGGAAGACACCCCCACAGCCTCCCCCCCCCCCCCCGCCGCCTCTCTGTAGCTCTGCTTTTCAAATAAATTAATAAATCTTTAAAAAAAATGAAAGAAAGAGCTGATTCTAAGTGTGGGGAAGAATGGCTACTCTGGGAAGATAACAAGCTTATTTTCACACAGCCAAGTTCAAATGGGACGCTGAGTACATGTTCTGAAACTCGGTGCAGGACTCGTTATTCCCAGCGTGAGGTGCACAGTGAGCTGCAACCCTGAGTGCTTGGTCTGACAGCTGCTTGCGTGTGACCTAAGGACTGAGTGATCACCTGATAGCCTTCTGTCTTCTTCTGACACCACTTCAGCAAGGCGTTCCTCTTTGATCCTCCGTATTCTCTTGCCAACGCAGAGAGAGGGTCCTTCCTTTCTTCCCTGGTAGGTAAACAAGGAACCCAAAATTGAAATAGTTTTGATTTGAGCACCAGAATAAGAACACTTATCAGTTTGCATTTGGAACAGGAGAAATGTACATTCAAAGGCCATCCAATAGCAAGACATATCTTTTTTTTTTTTTTTTTTTTTTTTTTAGATTTATTTATTTATTTGAAAGCCAGGAGAGGGAAAAGGAGAGGGAAAGAGAGATAGAGACCTTCCATCAGCTGATTCATTACTCAAATGGCCACAATGGCCAATGTTGGTCCAGCAGAAACTAGGAGCCTGACACTCCATCTGGGTCTCCTATACGGGTGGAAGGGGCCATCTTTCACTGTCTTCTCAGCACATTAGAAGGGACCCGGATCGGAAGCAGAGCAGCCAGGACTGGAACTGGTCCTCTGGTAAGGGATGCCAGCATCGCAAGTGGCAGCTTAGCTCACTGTGCCACAACTCCAGACCCCTTTCATCTTACTTTCAGCTATCAACTTTTAGTTTATGATCTCACAGATCCACTGCTGTCAGGGTTTTTACTGTCCAAAGGGAGGGACTCTACACACCATCCACATGGAAAGTGGCAAAGACTCCACACAACACCCATGCACAATCAGTGGAACGCCTTCCAGGGTGCAGCTCAAAGTGCCGTGGCTGTCTCTCACTCAGTCTCAGACCCTCCGTCACCTTTATGTTTGATTTCCAGCCTTTCCTCTTGGTTTCTAACCTTTTATGTCTTTAATCATCCCATCATCAAACATCATTTACTGCTGCAGCAGGTGGCTAAAAGGCTCGCCTCCCACATCAAGTACCTGGTTTTAGTTCCCGTTTTAGTTCTGCTAATACAGACCCTGGGAAGGCGGCAGGTGACAGCTCCGACCACCCAGATGGGAGACCTGGATTGACTTCCTGGCCCCTACCTTTGGGCCCGGCCCAACCACAGCCATTAGGGGAACTTGGGGAGTGAACTAGCAAAACATAAAAATAACGATTACAAGAAATGGGAAAGGCTTGTTCTGGCTCACATGGTGTGTATTCTGTTACCAAAACAGCTTATAAAAGCAGTGGAGAAGGACACAGTGAGAAGCTGCAGAACGGCCCAGCAGACAGGCATTTGGCCCAGTGATTCAGGTATCTACATCCCATCAGAGTTTTGACTCAATTCCCACCAACGCAGACACCGGGAGGCAGCAGGTGATGGCTGCCACCCACATGGGAGAACTGAATTGAGTTAATAGTTCCTGGCTTCAGCCTGGCCCATCCCCAACCGTTGTGTACATTTGGGAAGTGAAGCAGGGGATGAGAGCATGTGTGCTCACTCTCACTCTCCTCACCCCATCTGTTTAATAAATACATAAAAATTTAAAAAAGAAATGAGCCTTCTAGAGTACCCCTTACAACCTCTTTTTTTTTTTTTTTTTTTTAAGATGTATTTACTTTTTGAAAACAGAGTGGGGGGTGGTGCTGTGGTTCAGCGGGTTAAAGCTGTGGCTCAGAGAGTTACAGCACCTGTATCCCATATGGGTGCCAGTTCAAGTCCCAACTGCTCTCTCCAACCCAGCTCCCTGCTATGGCCTGGGAAAGTAGTGAAAGGCACTTGGGCCCCTGCCACACATGTGAGAGACCCGGAAGGAGTTCCTAGTTCTTAGCTTTGGCCTGGCCCAGTACTGGCTGTTGTGGTCATTTGGGGAGTGAACCAGCAGATGGAAGATCTCTCTCGCTGTCTCTCCTTCTCTCTCTCTCTGTCACTCAGCCTTTCAAATAAATAAATAAATCAATCTTTATATTTAAAAAAAATCAAGAGAGAGAGAAAAAGAGAATGTGTACTACAGCCAAAAGCACTTGTATCTGCTGGTTCACACCCCAAATGGCCACAATACCCAGGGAACACCAAAGACAGGAGCCAGGGTCTCCCATGTGGGTGACAAGGACCCAAGTTCTTGAGCCATCATCTCCTGTCTTCTAGGGACATTAACAGGGAGCTGGATTGGAAGTGGAATAGCCAGGGGTCAAGCAGCACTCAGATACAGGATACAGTGGCAGCTTAACACACTGCCCCACAACACTCATCCCTAACCTCTTCATTTTAAAATGAGGAAACTAAGGCCAGGAGACACCTTGCTGAAGATCACAGCTCCTTAGTGGGGAGCCAGGAGGAGTGAACCCATCAGCTGGGACACAAAGACTCTGGCTCCCCTTAGCACTGCACTCCCTACTTGCTCCCATGGTACCCCCATTGTGGGACCACCATCTGAAGTAAGTTCATAATTTAAATTTGGGAAGATCAAATATCTCATTTTATCTTCAAGCCCACAAATTAATACATAGTTAAATTTCTGAAATCCATTCCTATCCTTCCTTTAATTCTTCTTAATTATTGTCAACAGTCTCTCCTTATCCTTGTAAACTATGGACGCTACATTTTTGACATCTGTTTTGTTGAACGTAGCATCACATTCTCAGACTCCAATTCTAAACAAGTAGAGCCACCTTTGATATGGCCCATCTTCACATTCCTTTCCTAAAATTCTGCTGCTGAAATCATCTCTTGTTTGAAAAACAAGACCTCCTGGTGCAACGCTCTCCTGAGGTCCTCTCCTCTGCTACTCCCCTGCTGCAGACGTGCTGTGTCTGCTTCAGAAAGGCTCTTTTTCCCCGATGCTCCTCCAGAACAGACCAGTCCTTTGATCACCTTCTCACACAGACTTAGCTATTCCACTTTATAGCTTCTACCACATCACAGGGACTCAACTTGGCTTCACAGGGGCTCCACCACCTGGCCATACCTGTTCAATCTTTGCTTCTATCACCCCTGACATGGCCGGGACACCTTTCCCTGGTTGTTTGCATCTGCCTTCAGAATCTGCAGTGCCACCTGCCTACAATGTCCCCCTGGCCCAGGTCCTCATTTGTTTACCCAGAGAGGGTACTATTCTTGCCGATGGTCACCTCTTCTCTCCCCACCCTCAAGGGTCTGCTCAGTTCCACCCAACCTCCTAGGGAGGCCTTCTCTGACCCCACCCACACCCCAGGCATTCAGATTTCACACTACTTACTTTACCCCTCAACTGTTCACTGTAATTTTAAAAAGCAAAACAAAAACTGCTTGAGGAAAGGAATTAGCTATTTCATTTGATCAGTATCTTCTATGTCATCTATCTACTTCTCAATGTGGAATAAGTCAGTTAAACACTTAACACCAAAAGAGAGAAAAAGCACAGTGCACACATGCTACTATTTCACAACCCCATCATTTAGGCTCAGAGGCCAGGAAAGGTGTGCATGAGATGCATCAGTGTCATCTGCTCTCTACCTTATCCGGCTGCGGGTGGTGGGGGTCACAGACGCTGTGGGAGAGGAGGACAGCGAGAGCTGGGGTGACGTGGTGCCCATGGCCATGAGAGAGGCTGGCGAAGCTCCCTCGGGCGCAGAGATGTCCCGTTTCATTTCTTCACTACTTCGTCGAGACACTGATGGTGAGAAACAGTCATTTACATATTTTATAACAAAAATATCTTAGAGTGAGTTCCTGAGATATTTTCTTCTGAAGATTCCAAAAAGAATACATATTTCCTTATGGTATAACTAGAAAGGATTTCTCCATTTTTTTCATAAAAAAATCCATGAGAGGTAGGCATTTAGCCTAGCAGTTAAGACGCCAGCATCCCATATCAGAGTGCCTGGGTTTGATACCCACCTCCAGCTCCTGATTCCAGCTTCCTGCTGACACAGACCCTGGGAGGCAGGAAGTGACAGCTCAGGTGGTTGGGCTCCTGCCATCCATGTGGAAAACCTAGATTGGGTTCCCAGCCCTGGCTAATGAGGGTATATGGAGTTGGTCGGTAGATGAAGGTTCTCTGCCTTTGTCTCTGTCTCTCACATGGATACATTTTTTAAAAAATTCTGTGAACAGGTAGTTGAACTATGCATTGAGCTCCACACATTCGAGTATGTTCTAGCCAACCCTGTAACACTCACAGTATCTATATAGTAAGTACAAATACAACCAGAAACCAAAGGCTTAGGAGCTGGTATTGTGGCATAGAGGGTTAAGCCTCTGCCATGACGTCGACATCCCAGTTCCACACCTAGCTGTTCCACTTCAGATCCAGCTCCCTGCTAGTGTTCCTGGGAGAGCAGCAGAGGATGGACCGAGTACTTCAGCCCCTGCACACACTTCAGAGACCCAGAAGAAGCTCCAGGCTTCAGCCTGGTCCAAGCCCTGGCTGTTGAAGCCATATGGGAAGTGAACCAGCAGATGGAAGATCTCTCTCTTTCTCTTTCTCTCTCTGTCTCTGTCTTACTTCTTCACAATGTAACTCTGCCTTCCAAATAAAGTAAAAATAAATCTTCAAAAAAGCAAACAAAAACAAAGGCTGGTGACTGCAACAGAGCACTTGCAACTACTCATCCCTGCCCAGCACCCACGCCTGCAATGAACACAGCCCTTCTGATATTGGCCGATAACTCTGCCAGGGGAGAGAAGGGAAGAGATGCTACCCAGAATTCTCCATCAGGCTTCACTGTAAAAGGTGAATCCAGGAAGCAAGTCAACTCTGGAGACATAGCAACAATCTTTCAGAAAAGCCTGACTCTGAAAGTCTGGCTCTGTAAGACACTTGTTAGAACTGCTAAGTTCTGGGAACAGTGAGATGGAAGTGGCCACTTCAGCACCGAGAACAGTTACAACAAAAGCAGCTTTCAAGAAGGCGGCCCTGAGGAATGCTGGGAGGGCCTTGGAAGCTTAGCGGAGCTAAGGCCCGGCCCCCAGACCTGTTCTCTCTCAGCTCAGAAGGTGAATCTGCAGGAACCCTTAACTGCCTCTTCCTCAGACTGTGACTGTGACACATCAGTAACTCCCTTCTGCCATCAAGTATCCTTCTTTTAGTGGCTACGATCTTCTTGATTTTAGGGTAGCCACAAAGAGAATATAATTCTGTGTTAGTAAAGCACCATCCTCAAAGATGAAATGGGGACAGACGCAATCTCCTATGACGTGATCTTAAAATGACACACTTACACATTTCCAGCATAAGTTTTCCCCGTCAAAAATGTTTTTAAAAAATTATTTGAAAGAGAAATGAAGGGACATCTCCCCTCTGATGGCTCACTCCCAAAATGCCCACAACAGCCAAGGATGAACAAGGCCAAGCCAGGAGCCAGTACCTCAACCCGTGTCTCCCACACGGTGGCAGGGACCCAATTTCTTGCGCCATCTCCTGCTGCCTCCCAGCAGGTGCATTAGCAGGAAGCTGGAATGGAGAACAGCGACGGCCGTCGCCGTGGCTGACTAGGCTAATCCTCCACCTAGTGGCACTGGCACACCAAGTTCTAGTCCCGGTCGGGGCGCCGGATTCTGTCCCGGTTGCCCCTCTTCCAGACCAGCTCTCTGCTGTGGCCCGGGAAGGCAGTGGAGGATGGCCCAAGTGCTTGGGCCCTGCACCCCATGGGAGACCAGGAGAAGCACCTGGCTCCTGCCTTCGGATCAGCGCAGTGCACCGGCCGCAGCGCGCCAGCCGGGGCGGCCATTGGAGGGTGAACCAACGGCAATGGAAGACCTTTCTCTCTGTCTCTCTTTCTCACTATCCACTCTGCCTGTCAAAAAAAAAAAAGAGAGAGAGAGAGAGAACAGCGAGGGAACCTGAACCCAGACACTCTGATATGAAATGCAGGGGTCTTAGACAGCAGCTTCACCAATACGCCAAACACCCACCCCTCTCAATTGTTTTTATGCTTTAAATCAGTAGTTTCTGTTAAGCTGAGTACTAGGAAACTGCATGATAAAACCTCTCAGAAATTTATATGAAATAGAGAGATTAGGCTGAGAAAGGCCTGTTGTTGCCTCAGCAGGACCAAACCAAATGATTCCATGGGCCTTAAATGGCCCATGGACCAGACACTCTCCACCCCTGCTGTAGATGCTTAGTAAGTATTTGTTAAATGAAAGGAACTCTCTAGCTTTTTGGTTTTGTTATTATTTACTTTTTTTAAAGCTTTCTTTATTTAATTGAAAGGCAGTGTTACAGGGAGAGGGAAAGACAGGAAAAGAGATCTTCCACCTGCTAGTTCGCTCCCCAGATGGCCACAACAGCTTGGGGCACAGGGCTAGATCAGGCTGAAGCCAGGAGCCAGAAACTTCTAGGTCTCCCATGTGGGTGGCAGGGGCCCAAGCACTTGGACTATCTTCCACTGCTTTTCCCAGGCCATTAGCAGGGTGCTGGATCAGAAGTAGGGCAGCTGGGACTTAAGCCGGCAACCATATGGAACTCCTAGCACTATGGGCAGTGGCTTTTATTCACTGCATGACAACGCTGGCCCTTTATTTTTGTTTTTAAATCACATTTTGAAAATGTGATCTCCATAGAATTTAGAAGATACTACAGGACAAATTCAAAGTGAAAAATAATCAACTTAAGAGCTGAAGAGGCAAGTAGAGTTGAATAAGTCTAACGAGAAAGTATTCAGGACAATTAGCGTAACTTCTGGAGAGTCTTTTGGAACGAAATTTCAGATAAAGGTCATTACCTGAGATGGTCTTGGCACTTTCCATGGCAGGTACTCTGGGCAGTGAGGCAGGTCGGCTGGTGGACGACGTCCTTAACAGGTGCTCTGCACAAGAGAAGAAGGTCACAATAGAGAAATCTGATGCCAGTGAGGATCGCAAGGGTTCAGGGAAGGCGAGTCTGACTTCTCTCAACCTTGCAGCTCACTTTCCTTCCCAATCCCTCCAGTCCTCACAGTCTGTTCACCCAGAGCAACTCTTGAGGATGAGAGAACATTCCACTCAACATTTTATTTCCAGGGCCCACCGAGGCCACACAGATGAGTGCTTCTGAATCACTGACTCCACCTACCTCTCCAGTGCAATTCAACCCACGCTCACAGATCCCCTAGTGCATCTCGGTCACATGACAAACTAAGCTAGAGCCTTGTCCCTGTGTGTCGTGGGCCCACCACACACATATACGATCATCAGAATAACAAGTTGATAAGGGGCTCTGAAACCACAGAGGGAAAAGCCAGCCACTTGGATTTCGGGTAGCTGGACCTTCCTAGTAGGGAAGAGGTGTGGGGAAGCAGATAGCATCACAGCAAAGGTACAGTGGACAATGACAAAGCCTAGATGGCTGCAAACTGGGGTATGTGGGAAACAGACCTGACAGAGGACAGGGGGCTTACAGGGAGGAGGAGGCTGCCTGCTGTGTGGACTTCAGCCTGAGGGCAACAAGAAAGCCTCAAGTTCTGAGGTTCAGGCAGAATCACAATGAGATGCCACAGCCTCTAGCATCTGTGATTACAGCCTCACCCCGGCCTACTCCTCCCTTTGTCCTGGAGTTTCTCCAGTTCCTAGAGACTTGGCACCGACTGTCTGTCCCCAGGCTTCCTGCCCCTCCTCCACTGCCTCCTTAGCCTGGCCAACTTTGCCGTCCTTCAGGTCTTAGCAGAACATCATTTCCTCAGAACCTTTCCCTCCACCCCATATCCAGGGAGGTGTGCCCCCTTTCCCTCACCCCACCATACACCCACACACACAGTGCACGCCACGCAAGTCCAACCGCAGGCTGCCTGCAGGCAGCATGAGGAAGACAGGCTGTGTTCTGACTGACCAAGGCTGGGAGTGTGAGGATGAGACCAGACTGGTGAGAAAGACCCCTGTAGAGGAAGAAACCCCCATGTTTCATGAAGACCACTGGCCTTGCTGTCCAAGCGTGGCCACCACTTTTCTGGAACTGACAATGTAAACAATTATCCCCTTCAAAATGTGAGGATGTCAAAAGTAACGGCAAGTGACACTGTCTCCTCAGGACAGCATGTCCTCCACTCCAACAGGGTCTGAGAAACACCTGGTCTGGTGTGGGAAGACCGGGCTCAGGATCTCAGTGAAGACAGGACCTACAGTGCCTAGAGTCCTGACAGCTCGCTCATCCTGAACAAACACCAACCCTGTGCAGAGAGCCAACAGCAGGTATCAGTCATGATCCCGGGCCCTGCCGGCAACTGGCATTTCTCCTGACGGGAAGAGCATTTTATGCACAGTCTGACAGACAAAACAGTCAGCAGAACACAGAAATTGCAGAAAACGGAAATTGGCATTTTGGATTTAATCAAAAATTCCATTCAACAATTATGAAACTGTGGTCATTTCCCTCAAAGTCTTAGTCTCCCAAAGAGTAACACAGCAAATTAAGAAAGCAAAAACAAAAGTGAGAAAGAAATCAAAACAGAAGTGTCAGCTCTGGACACAGGCAACAGTCCTGGCCATTCCCGAGATAGGAAGTGTTTCTAAGGGACATATGTAGTACGTAACTTGCGCTCTTTTACAGTGCATGCTGCAGGCACACAAGTGAAAAGAGGTCCACAGAATTCACTGCTGATACGCATGCCTACCACCTCGGTAAGCCTTGTGTGCGCGGCATTTCTAATCGCAGTGCCACAGACAAACCCTGCTGTAGCCCAATACCTGAACTTTCTTAAAATGCACAAAAATGTTCTGAAGGCCCAGATAGGTTATTTGTTTTAGAGTCATCTGTGGTGGCTTTCAACAGCTACAGCACTGTGTGTGCTGCCAGCCCAAGAAGTTATTTTCCCTGCGAGAATCCAATCTGCCCAGCGGTGCCTGGCACAGGGACAACACTGGACGGTGGCTTCTGCGGTGCGCAGGCTGGTTTCCACCTTCACGGTACACTGTCCGGCAGAGCCTCCTTCAGGAGATAAGATTAGTGCACCACAGTCAACTATAGCAGGCTGCAGATTGCATATTACAGTGAAAAAAAGAAAAATCCTACCCTATTGCCATATGGAGTTATTTTTGTCTTTAATCCATTCATCAAACAAAACCCAGGGGGTGTCTGTCTACGACTCGCCAGCACTCGCCAGCACCGGGCTTGGTGCAAAGGTCAGGAGAAAGAAGCAAGGCGACTGAGGATGTGTCCTCGTGGAGCTCAGGTCCAGAGCGGAAGCAGACATCCATAAAATCATGATGAGTGCTGGCTGGAGTTAAGTACCTGGGGCTCTGGGAACACAGTGGGCAACATGGCTGATCTCGAGGGGAGGTCCGGAAAGGCCTCCTCAGGAAATGACAGCAAAGTTAAGACTAGAATAATAATTAATGGTTTTTATACAGGCAAAGGAGAGCTTGGAAGGAAAAGAGCATTCAGCAAACACCAAGAGAAATGCAGGGCGGCGACGGTGGAGGGCAAGGGCAGGTCACGCAGGCTCATTCCACAGGGAGGAGCTTGGACTCACCCTGCTGCAATGAGCAGACAGTGAGGGTCTATCTGGTTAGCACTGGGGAGGGGTAATGGTGCGTGCACGATGACCAGCTCCTGTACAGAGATGGTGACGACCTGGCCTTCGGTGACATCAGCGAAGAGGTAAAGCCAACAGATTCAAGCAGGCAGGATCAACAGACATCCTGACCAACCGGATGCAGATGTGAGAAGGGAGGAGGTACTATGTACAGAGATGGAAAGGCAAGGTGTGTTAGGAAAGGAAGAGAGGTAGAGGTGGACACACTGAATTCGAGAACGCTTTGAGGTACCCAGGGAAAGATGTGGAGCAGGCAATCAGCCAGTTCAGAACAAAGTCTGAAGTGTGCATCACAGTTCTGGGAATCATCAGTGTATGGCTGATGGGGTGGGAGTCTACTGGGTGACATGGAGGTCCCTGGCAGCTTCACTTGAATAATTCAATAGCTTGGTGGGGACAAAAGTAAGATTAGAATGTGCTGAGGGGAGAGTGGAAGTTGGTAAAAATGGGGAGATAAGTTGTTGAAGGGTAAGAGAAAGCAAAGCATTGAGTGTGTGAGAGAGGGAGGGTTTTCTTCCCCGTTTGCATGGGACCGTTGTAAGCATTTTTAAATGATGACAGAAGGGAATCAGCAAAGAGGACAAAGATGAAGATCCAGGAGAAGGGGATGATCAGGCAACAGCAGGTGGCTAATAGCATCTGAGAAAGCCCACGGGGATAGGATCCAAGGCCCAGAAAAGGAATAAACCTGGAGAGAGATATGTATTCTGCTTGCTTCCAACAGACGGCTAGAGATAACAGGAACACACCAGACCTTAGTTCTCTTATTTCAGAAATCAGAGAAACAGTTGTCCCTTTATTGTTTTCCAAATCAAATTTACTGGCAAAATAATGGATTTTAAAATAGGAGCCTTTCCTAATTTAAAAAAGATGATTAATTAATTAAAGAAATAAAAATAGCAGCTGAACATGCACCTTCTGTTAGTCGAGGAGTAATTCCAAATGGACCAATGCTCCTGCCAAAAACAACTTTAAAATCTCAAAAAAAAAATATGAAGCCAGCATTGTGGCACAGCAGGTTAAGCTGCCACCTGCAACGCCGGCAGCCCACTTGAGTGCCAGTTCATGTCCCAGCTGCTGGACATCTGATCCAGCTCCCTGTCCCTGCCTGGCAAAGCAGAGGAGGATGGCCCAAGTGGTTTGGCCCCTGCCACCGACATGGGAGAGCCAGATGGAATTCCTGGCTCCTGGATTCAGCTTGGCTCAGTCTGATCATTGCAGCCATCTGGGGAGTGAACCAGCAGAGGGATGGAAAATATCTCTCTCTCTCTCTCTCTCTCTGACTTTCAAATAAAAATTTAAAAAAAAAAAAATTTTTTTTTTTTTAAAAAGCCACTAATGTCATCAGCGGGCCTCCACCCCATGACCCTTTCTTTCTCTCTCTCTGCTTCTTAAATAAATCTTAAAAATAAAAAAGGGCCAGCGCCACGGCTCAATAGGCTAATCCTCTGCCTGCAGCGCCGGCACCCCGGGTTCTAATCCCAGTCGGGGTATCAGATTCTGTCCTGGCTGCCCCTCTTCCAGACCAGCTCTCTGGTGTGGCCCGGGAGTGCAGTGGAGGATGGCCCAGGTCCTTGGGCCCTGCACCCGCATGGGAGACCAGGAGAAGCACCTGGCTCCTGGCTGCGGATCAGCGCGGCGCGCTGGCTGCAGTGCACTGACCATAGCGGCCACTTGGGGGGTGAACCAACAGAAAAGGAAGACCTTTCTCTCTCTCTCTCTCTCTCACTGACCACTCTGCCTGTCAAAAAATAATAATAATAATAAAATAAAAAGAAAAAAGGAATACACTTTGAGAAGGATCAGGTATCCTTTCCCAGAACCCTAGGGAGAAGGGGCAGCAGCTTAGATGACAAGACAGTACAAGGAAGCAGGGCTTTTTTTTTTTTTTTTTTTTTTTTTTTTTTTGGGACAGGCAGAGTGGACAGTGAGAGAGAGACAGAGAGAAAGGTCTTCCTTTTCCATTGGTTCAGCCCCCAATGGCCGCTGCAGCTGGCGCGCTGTGGCCGGCACACTGCGCTGATCCAAAGCCAGGAGCCAGGTGCTTCCTCCTGGTCTCCCATGCGGGTGCAGGGCCCAAGCACTTGGGCCATCCTCCACTGCACTCCCGGACCACAGCAGAGAGCTGGACTGGAAGAGGAGCAACCGGGACAGAATCCGGCGCCCCGACCGGGACTAGAACCCAGGGTGCTGGCGCTGCAGGCGGAGGATTAGCCTATTGAGCCGCGGTGCCAGCCAAGCAGGGTCATTTTTAACACACAACAGATCTAAGATGGAGTGAGGAGTTAAGGTTGACTCTAGGGTATATCAACTGAGATGGGGAAGGCAGATTCCATGTGGTAAGTGTGGGAATCTCGTCCCGGACACATTCAGCCTGCAAATATTCAATTACTACAACAAGGATGTCAAGTGGCAACTGCATGTGTGACTCTGGGGCCCAGAAGGGAGGAAGAGGCTGGAGAGGAGACTGGGACAATCCTCAGCAGGGGAAACAGTGTTTAAAGCCATGAGAAAGGAAACAGTAACAAAGTGTGAGCGTGTGCAGAGAACAAAGGCCCAGAGGCTGAGCTCTGGGCCACAACACTTACAGGTCAGGAAGAGAGACTGGCACAGGAGATGGAGGAGACACAGGAGTGTGGTGTTGGGAAAACAAGAGAACAGCTCAGAAGAGGGAGTGTTCCATGGTGCCCAATCAGGCTGCCTGTGTGTATCAGAGCAGGACTGAGAGCTCACGTGGCTGGCAACATGACCTCAGCAGCTGCAGGTATGATGGGGTAAAAGGAGAGTCTGGCTGCAGGGTTGAAGAGAGGAACTGGTGCTCATCACTATTCCTGGTTACAGATGAGGGACTGCATCAAAGAGACCAACAGCCAGGCTGCGGTGAGGCCAAGGACCTCTGCGCACACACAGAAACCATTTGTAGATCCAGCCGGGAGGTGGGACGTCAAAACAGGAAGAGGAGACACAAAGTGCTTGGGTCAAGGAGACTTTAAATTTTCCATTATTTGTTCCCTTAGCAAGTGGGCTTTCTGAGTGGGAGGAGAGCTTGGGTCAGGAATGAAGAACGAACTAGGAGTGAAAAGGCAGCAAATAAAGCCTCTCTGTGCAGGGGAGACAGCAGCAGCATCTCCTGTCTCACTGTCCCTAACTGTACACAACCAGTCTGCCCGATACTCAGGAAAGACTTCGCGATGAGGAGTTCCATCACCACACTGAATTCACACCGATGCCATGCAGAGTCTGCAGCACCAGTGCTCCTGGTACTTTAACTGAACAACTCTCACCCCTACTGTGAGGTATTAAGAGAGTAGCATTCAGAGGAGGGCCTTTGGGGAGTAATCAGGATTGAATGAGGCTATTATGATGACTGGAGCTGTCATGACGGAATCCCGGTACCTGCAGAACCTTTTTTTTTTTTTTTTGTCCCCAAAGACACCTTTTATTTAATGAGTACAAATTTCATAAGCACAACTTTAGGAATATAGTGATTCTTTCCAGCATACCCACCCTCCTACCCACACTCCCACTCCACCACCTCCTCCTTGTCCTCCCTCCTCCATTCCCAGTCCCATTTTCCATTAAGATGAATTTTCAATTAACTTTATATACAGAAGACCAACTCTATACTAAGTAAAGATTTCAACAATTTGTGCATGCGTACACACACACACAAAATTGGGAACAAGTTTTATGGTAAATTCTCTTAATAAAACTCACTGAGGACAGAGGTCCTGCATGGGAAGTAAGTGCACAGTGACTCCTGTTGTTAATTTAACAATTAATACTCTTATGTATGATGTCAGTGACTACCTGGGGCTCTTGACATGAGCTGCCTAGGCTATGGAAGCCTTTTGAATCCACAATCTCTGTTAGTATTTAGACAAGGCCATAAGCAAAGTGGAAGTTCTCTCCTCCCTTCAGAGAAAGGTACCTCCTTCTTTGATGGTCTCTTCTTTCCACTGGGGTCTCTCTCTCAGAGATCCTTCATGTAGGATTTTTTTTTTTTTTGCAACAATGTCTTGGCTTTCCATGCCTGAAATGCTCTCATGGGCTTTTCAGCCAGACCAGGATGTCTTAAGGGCTGATTCTGAGGTCAGAGGGCTATTTAAAGCAATTGTCATTCTGTGAGTCTGCTGTGTGAACTGCTTCCCATATTGGAACATTCTCTCCTTTTGAATTTTATCTATTATTATTATCAGACACTTGATCTTATTTATATGATCCCTTTAACACTTAATCCTATCTATATGATCACTTTAACACTTAATATGATCACTTTAATACTTAAGATGGCATTTTTTACCACCCAGCTTAATGGGATTTGGGGTCCCATGGCAAGTTTTTAAACTATACCCTTAGAAGTATGTCTGTAGGAATGTATGCTGAAATACACAGCTTTACAGTTACAAACTTCCTCCTCCCTCTCTTATTCCTATTCTTATTTTTTACTGAGATCTATTTTCAATTGACTTTATATACATGTGATTAACTCTACGTTAAGTAAAGAGTTCAACAAATAGTATGAAGAAGACAAGGGCTGTTCAAGTCATTGCTTCCCAAAGTGTCAATTTCACTTCTACAGATTTCCTTTTAGGTGCTCTATTAGTTATCACAGATCAGGGAGAACATATGATATTTGTCCCTTTGAAACTGGCTTATTTCATTAAGTATGATGTTTTCCAGATTCTTCCATTTTTTTTTTTACCGCTATGTAGTATTCCATAGAGTACATATCCCATAATTTCTTTATCCAGTCTTCAGTTGACAGGCATGAGTTATCTGCACCCCCATGTTTACTGCAGCTCACAACAGCTAAGACATGGAATAAACCTCTTTTTTTTACACAGTAGCCTGCCTCGGGCAGTCTGTCACAGGAATGAAAAGATGACAATTGTGATGCACATCATATTGGTTGAAGTGATGTTAACAGCAAAGAGAATAATAATTTTGTTAGCCAAAAAAGTCTGAATAATCCAACAACTAAAATGTGAAACACTGTACCTTGAACAGGGATCTCCCCATAGTTTGGTCTCTTATCTGAAAGGGCTGTCAGGGGTTTGGATGCTGAGATTGGTCCACTGATGGAATGTCTCTGAAACCATAAAATAAACAGTATCAAAGTTACGCTAAATCTAGTGCTGGGACTCAGAAAAGATAGTAATGCTAGAGAGTAAATATTTAGTTATAAATATAGATAATTCCTTCCACACTGCTATAGTAACCTTATAACACACATACATACATATTCACAGAAGTGATAAATGTACTTTTTAAAAAACTGAACATTATGAGGTAATTATAGATCCATTCACATGAAGCTGTAGTAAAGGTCACAGAGAGATCACACACCCAGCAGCACTGTCTGGTAAATCTATACTAGACCATCACAATCAGGTCACAGACACTGATGCAAACAAGATACAGACCACTTCCATTAACCATGAGATCCCTCCTACCACTCTTTTACAATCACACCCATTTTCTCCAACCCCAAATCTACCTCAGTGACCCCTGATAATCAATGGTATTCTGAGTACAATTTCATTACTCTGCTTAAAGAGAATTCTTAAAGGGGTGAGGCTTCAAGTCCTGACTACTTCACTTCCAACTTCTTGCTAATGCACATCCTGGGAGGCAGCAGAAGATGGCTTGGGTCTCTGCCACCCACACAGGAGACCTGTCTTCCCTGAGGCGATTAGCAGGAAGCTGGATCAGAAGTAGAACAACCATAACTCAAACCAGTGTTTGGATATGTGATGCTGGCACTGCAGGCGGCAACCTAACCTCCTGTGCCACAATACCACCCTCTCCCAACTCCTCCAGTTTTTTAACCTAGGCACCTTCTAATTACTCATTTCATATTCCCAGTAGAAACGTGTGAGGTACAGCTTCTTCACATCCTTCCTACACTTGATGTTGTTAGTGTTTTAATTCTGGCCACTCTGCAGATTGTGGAGCAGAATACCAGCGCAGGTTTAATTTCAGCTTCTCTGATGATCAATGACGATGTGCATCTTCTCACAGGTAGGAAGCCATTTGTTTATCTTCCCTTGAGAAGCTCTGCTTTTTTCCCCAATCTTTTGCCCACTGCTAACTGGGTTGTTTGTCTTTATTCTACTGAAAGCAAGTCTTTTATTAGATAAATGTGTTACAAATTTACTCTCTCAAGTCTGAAGTTTGCCTTTCATTTTCTTCATGTCTTTCAGAGAAGTTTTACATTTTAACGCCCAATTTTTCCATTTGCTTCCATGGTTCATGTTTTTCGTGTGTATCCTAGGTAAGTGTCTTTGCAGTCTCTGAGGTCACAGTGGTTTTCCCTGCTGTCCTCATGTGGACATTTTACAGGTTTGGTCAGCCTCAACCTCGCATATGCCACGAGGTTAAGGTTACCCCATACGAACATGGAGCTGTTTCAGAACTCTTGCAGAACACCGTGCCTCATCCACTGAATTCCCTTGGCACCTTTGGGAAAATCACTTGGCCTATTTCTGGACTCAGTATCTATTCCACTGTCTACACTGAACCATGTCAAACCGCACTGTCTTGATCTACCTTTATTGTAAATGCTTGAATTGGCAGTGCAAGTTCTTGAAGTTTGTTGTTTTTTACCACCTTAGATGCTTTGAATATTCAGGGTCTTCTGCACGTTTCCATATAAATTTTAAATTGTCTTGTTAACTGCTACCCCAAAAGGCACTGGGATCTTAACTGGGACTGTGTAGAACATGAAGATAATGAGAAGGAGAACTGCAAGATATTAATAATGCTGGCTCTTCTATACCCTAAGCACAGCAACTCTTCTCATTCACTACTTAATTTCTCTCAGAAATAGTTCACAGCTTTCAATCTACAGGTGTGGCACATATTTCATTAAAGTACTGCTAAGTACTTCAGCAGCCCAACTGTCTGTGCTAGAATACGGAAGTCTAGGTGGCTGTCAAGTGGTGACCTTGTATCCTGCAACACTGCTCACCTCAAGAAGCTTCTCTGAGGATTCCTTGGGATTTTCAAGTAACCAATCATGTCATCTGCAAATGATGACAGTTTTACTTCTCCATTTCCCGTCTGTTTGCTGTCTTTTCTCTCCTTGGCCTTCTTGTACAGAGGAGGAGATCAAGTAAAATGTTAGACAAAAGCAGTGAGCATGGGCATCCTTGCCTTGGTGCAGTCCTAGTAAGAAAGCACTCAGGGGGCTAGCCCTGTGATGTAGTAGGCTAAGCCTCAGCCTGCAGTGCTGGCATCCCATATGGGTGCCAGCTCATTTCCTGGATGCTCATCTTCCAATCCAACTCTCTGCTTATGGACTGACTGAGAAGGCAGTGGAAGATGGGCTAAGTGCTTGGGTCCCTGCACCCATACAGGAGACCCTGAAGAAACTCCTGGCTCCTAGCTTGATTGGCCCAGCTCCAGTCACTGGGGAGTGAACCAGCAGATGGAAGACCTTTCTCTCTGTCTCTCCCTTTGTCAGTAACTCTGCCTAAAATAAATAAGTAATATCTTAAAAAAAAGAAGCACTCAGTCTCTCCATTGGCTATGTTAGCTGGAGACTTTCCATAGACCCCATTTTCCTGGATGTTTTTCAAAGTGTTTCCAGCTTCCTAGTTTGCTGAAGCATTTTTTACTCTGAATGGGTGTGAAATTTCATTTTTCTTCAGAAACTAAGAGTCACAGGTTTTTCCTTTTTCATTCTGTTGAAGTAAATTTTACCTTTTCTTCTCAGGTACGCATGGTTCTTAGTAATGGCAGACTTACACTGTTATACTGTGCTGGATCCAATCTGCTAATACATTAGATTTATATCTATATTCATCAGGGATATTGATTAGTTTTGTTTTGTTTTTGTAATTCTTTGTCTTGTTTTGCCTTTAGGTAAAGCTGGCTCTATAAATTGAACTGGGATATCTTTCTCTTCTGTTTTCTGAAAGACATGAATTATTTTTCCCACAAAAGTTTGACTGAATTCATGAGCAAACCACATGAGCTTTGAGTTTTCTTTATGTAACCTTTGATTTTAAAATCATTATGGAGGGGCCACTGTTGTGGAATAACAAGCTGAGTTGCCGCCTGTGATGCTGGCATTGCATATCGGTTCCACTTGAGTCTCGGCTGCTTCACTTCCAATCCAGCTCCCTGCTAATGGCCTGGGAAAACAGCAGAAGATGGCCGAAGGGCTTAGGCCCCTGCCACGCACGTGAGAGACCCACAAGAAGCTCCTGGCTCCTGGCTTTGGCCTGGCCCAGTCATGGCCATTGCAGCCATCTAAAGAGTGAACCAGCAGATGGAAGATCTCTCTCTCTCTCTTTCAAATAAATAAATCTTTAAAAAGAATAAAAAATAAATAATAAAAGTCACAGAAGTTGCAGATAGTACAAAGCAGCCCCAAGTACTTTTCATCCATTTTCCACAACACACACAACTCCAAGGCTCTGCAGATAAAGAACTCTCTCAGCTTTTAGTTGCCTAATAAATCGCTCCCCATTTTTTGAAGACACAGAGTTCTAAACTGATGGCTGTACACCCCACCCCTTCCCTGCATTTAACGATGTCATTCCACTGTCTTTTTTTTTTTTTAACAGGCAGAGTTAGACAGTGAGAGAGAGACAGAGAGAAAGGTCTTCCTTTTTCCATTGGTTCACCCCCCAAATGGCCGTTATGGCTGGCACGTTGCAGCCGGCGCGCTGCGCTGATCCGAAGCCAGGAGCCAGAAGCTTCTCCTGGTCTCCCATGCGGGTGCAGGACCCAAGGACCTGGGCCATCCGCCACTGCACTCCCGGGCCACAGCAGAGCTGGACTGGAAGAGGAGCAACCGGGACAGAATCTGGAGTCCCAACTGGGACTAGAACCCGGTGTGCCAGCGCCGCAGGCAGAGGATTAGCCTAGTGAGCTGTGGTGCTGGCCATCCACTATCTTTTGACTTGGGTACTTTCTACCTAGCAGTCTGTGATCCTTCTTATCTGGCTGGCCTTAGCAGTGCCTTGTTGCAGGGTGTGCATGTGTTTGTATATGCTTGGCTTGCCTTAGTTTTCTTGGATCTGTGAGTATATAACTTCTATCAAATTTGGGTCAGCTTCAGCTATTATTTCTTCAAATGTTCTTTTCTGACACTCTTTTCCTTGGATTCAAATGTCAGGTTTGTAAGGACACTGAATTTTACCCCAAGTCAGAGGCTCAGTTTGTCTGTTCACTCCTCTCTGTGATTCATTTTCCTGGGCTCTTTTTCTCACCTTGCACTCAGTTCTCTCCATTCTCTGTCATGTGCACGTCTCCTTTCATACCCCTAGGCACACACGGCATATTCATGTATACTAATTCCATCATTTCTATCTTTTCCAGGATTGACTAATTTTTTTCCTGGTTATAGGTCACATTTTCCTGCTTCTTCACTATGTAGTAATTTTGTGCTACATGCCAGATTATGTATTTTATAACACGGAGCTCTGTATTTATCACAATTCTATAAAGAGTACTGTACTTTGTTCTGACAGGTAAATAAGCTACTGTATTAGTTATCTTTACTACATGACAAATTACCCTGAAACTTTGGTGGCTTAAAACTATAAACATTTATAATCTCATGGTTTCTATAGGTCAGAAAGCTTAGCAGGGTGCCTCTGGCTCAAGGTCTCTCCCAAGACAGCCAACGCAGTTGTCATCAGGCTCAGAAATCTGCTACTAAGCTAGCTCATGTGGGCCTCTCCACAGGCTGGCTCGCAACACGGCAGCTGGCTCTCCCCAAGCAAGCTGATAAAAGACAACAAGAGAACCCTGGAGACCTTGCCTTGGAAGGGACATCCCATCACTGCTGCCACATTCTATTCACTAGAAGCAAATCACAAAGTCCACCCAACGCTCATCAGGATCCGACTCCCAAAAGTCACTGTACAGGCTGCCTGCCACGGTTACTTATGGGCCTCTCTGGTTTGACTGAAGCTGTTTTTTTAAGGTCTGTTAGGGCAAACCTAGGGTAGCCTTTACTCTAGGGCTATTTAGTTCCATTTACAGGATGGCCTTTTAGGGGTCTTTACTGAATGCTGCACTGTGACTGGTGGGAACACAAATGATGCCCTACCCTATGTGATCTATGAAGTCTCAAAAGGCTCCCACGACTGTTCCTGGGAAGTTGTTCTTGCCCACCCTTGTGGGGCTGCACTCTATGCATGTGCAGACTTGCATTCAGGCCCAAGACTCACAGGGCCCCTCTGCTCTGTGCAGCTCCCTCTTCCCAGGTGCTCTGCCCTGCAGAGTCCAGCAGTCTCAGTCCCCTTGAACGCTGATTTGCATCTCCTCAGATCCAGCTGGTTTCCCTTTCCCTGCTCCTGTGGGTTCATACTCCCTGCACCACCATCCAGTAAAAACAGTGGGATTTACCTCATTTCTTCACTCTCTCAGGTATCAGCCCTGGTACTACTTACAGTACCAGGCCTGAAAATAACTGCCCCAATTTTTGTCCATCCTTCTAGTTGTGCGGGACAGCAGTCCCCGTTCTTGCTCCTGACCAGAAGCACAATTCCCACCCAGCGACTTCTGAAAAACTAACAACCCTCATCTTGGGCCCCAGTCCCCAGAGATTCTGCTCACTAGCATGAGGCCTGGGAACCTATGTGTTTAGAACTTTCCACATGATTTTTATATACAATTAGGCTTGAGAAGCACTGTACTAATAATGTACTAAAAAGTTACTAAATGTAGCTTGTAACTGTTAGCTTTTCTCAAGTTACAGAAATGAAACTTTTCTTAGCTCCACAGATTTACAAAATGATGCCTTTACCATCAAATTTCAGCAAACATTACAGAGGAAAACATCTTATTTGAAGTTCATTATAGTTGGTACCTTTCTTTTGCTTTTAGTTATATCTTTAGATCTTTAGAAAAAAAATTGATTAAACCACAAAAAGCATTGAATACCTGTAGGAAAAATTGAAATTCCCCTTGCTCCATTTAAATAAAGACATAATATCTTGGATATACATGGAAATGTGAAGCTTGTTGACTTGCAACATTACAAATGCAGCGGGAGCACACTTTTATCACAAACTTACTGAGAAAAAGTTAAAATGTTCATTCACAAAACACATGGGCGAAATAAACACAGCAGAAAGGTCTCAACTCAAGAAGAAAGTGCTGGGGCCAGCGCTGTGGCATATCATGTAAAGCCGCCGCCTGCAGAGCCAGCATACCATATGGGTGCCGGTTCAAGTTCCTGGCTGCTCCACTTCTGATCCAGCTCTCTGCTATGGTCTGGGAAAGCAGCAGAAGATGGCCCAACTCCTTGGGCCCCTGCGCCTGCGTGGGAGACCCAGAAGAAGCTCCTGGCTCCTGGCTTCCAATCAGCCCAGCTCTGGCTGTTGCTGCCATTTAGGGAGTGAATCAGTGGATCAAAGCTCTCTCGCTCTCGCTCTCTCTCTCTGTAGCTCCAACTTTCAAATAAAATAAATAAATCTTAAAAAAAAAAAAAAAAAGGATGATGATGATGATGCTTGGGATCCCATGACTTCAGGGAAGAGAGACGCAGCCAAGGTCATCTTATATGACAGGACACTAGATTTTAGGCCACTCACACCAGAAGCAGCTGGACGGCTGGATGAGGCACAGTGAAAGGAGCTCCTGTGCACCACAGAGGAACAACCCTCCACCATGAGGAAGTAGCTACTGAAACCTGCACACAAACAATCAGCGGTGCCCCTGTGCTCGACACAAGCCACATTTCTCTGAATTCATGATTTGTGCAGACCTCCTCCCATCCTGCACCTGAGCTGACCCTGTGCCCTAGTGCTTGGAACAAAGAAAGAGACACAAGTCACACTGTGCTAGTTCATGCCTAGGTCTCACGAAGTTTTGCTGACTTCCACTTCCTCCCTCCTGGAGGTGGAGACACCATAAGAAGCCTGGAAAGAAAGAGGCTTTCCACAGAGACAGAGGCTCTGCTTCTTCTTTCCTGGGTGGCCCCGGGCACTCACCTGCATAGGGGACACAGCTGCTGCTGGAGGGGTTTTCATAGGGCTGGGACTCAGAGGTGTTCGAGGAATTGCAGCTGCTGCAGGGTTTGGAACTAAAAAAAGAAAAAAAAAAAAAAAGTAAAGCAAATAATCAACACAGCCTGGTGCAGTGGAGGCTTTCTTGCCTGGTCTCCACCTAAGAATTTCCCCAGAGTAACCAATGCTCTCGATTCCCCTGGAAACTGTCTTGGCTAGGCTCTAAGCTCCATTGAACAATAACTGCACACAGGTGCTCTCCTCCCACCAGGTGAACAGCTTGCTCCCCCAGATTAGCTGTGCTTGTCTCCAATCCTGCTAACTCTGGTCATTTCACTTTCGCTTTTTAATTAGCATTATGTTCCCTGGCCCAGCACTGTGGCACAACCTTGTTAAACTGCCACTTGCAACGCCTGTATTCAATACGGGTGCAGGTACATGTCCAGGCTGCTCCACTTCTGATCCAGCTCCCTGCTAATGTGCCTGGGAAAACAGCAGCAGATGGCCTAAGTGCTTGTACCCCTGCCAACCACGTGAGATAACCGGATAAAACTCCTGGCTTCAGCCTAGCCCAGCCCTAGCCATTGTGACCACCTGGGTCATGAAGCAGTGGATGAAACACCTCTGTCTCTCCCTCTAACTCTGCTTTTCAAATACATAAACAAATATTCAAAAAATAAATAAATAATTAGCATTATGTACTTAAAGTGCTCAAAAGGGGCTGGTGCTGTGGCACAGCGGGTTAATGCCCTGGCCTGTGGTGCCAGCATCCCATATGGAGCCGGTTCCAGACCCAGCTGCTCCACTTCCAATCCAGCTCTCTACTATGGCCTGGGAAAGCAGTGGAAAATGGCCCAAGTCCTGGGGTTCCTGTACCACGTGGGAGACACGCAAGAGGCTCCGGGCTCTTAGCTTCGGATCAGTGCATCTCCGGCCATTGCGGCCAACTGGGGAGTGAACCAGCAGATGGAAGACCTCTCTCTCTCTCTGCCTCTCCTGTCTCTGTGTAACTCTTTCAAGTAAAAACAAATAAATCTTTAAAAAAAATTAAAAGAAATAAAGTGCTCCACAAACCAATGAGATCCACATACCATAAAATGCAAGAGGATCATGGTGGACAATCAGTAACTGTGGGTTAAACAAGTCCCTGCTCGCCTTTCCTCACGCCCTCCTGCAAAGTTCATCTCCACACATATTTTTTGCTTTGCACTCACTGCATATCAGTCTCCCTCTCTGAACTGTTCAAAAGTAGTTAATTTTTTAAAATTCACTCATTTGTTATTAGTCTACATTAAAATAGTTATTCAAGGGGCCGGTGCTGTGGCGTAGAGGGTAAAGTCACCACCTGTGACATTGGCATTCCATATAGGCGCTGGTTTGAGTCCCAGCTGCTCCACTTCCGTTCCAGCTCCCTGCTACTGCGCCTGGGAAAGCAGCAGAAGATGGCCCAAGTGCTTGAGTCCCTGCACCCACGCTAGAGACCTGGAGGCAGCTCCTGGTCCTGAGCTTCAGCCTGGCCCAGCCCCAGCTGCTGCAGCCATCTGGGGAGTGAACCAGCAGATGGAAGATTTCTCTTTCTCTCTGTATCTCTGCTTTTCAAATAAATAAATAACAAATCTTAAAATACAAATTCCAACCAAGTATGGTATGATATTCTGTATTAATGAGTCATTGTTTTATTATTTTTTAAAAGATTGTTTATTTGAAAGTCAGAGTTACACAGAAAGAGAAGGAGAGGCAGAGAGAGAGAGAGAGAGAGAAAGAGGTCTTCCATCAGCTGGTTCACTCCCCAAAGGCTGGAGCTGAGCCGATCAGAAGCCAGGAGCCAGGAGCCAGGAGCTTTCTCCAGGTCGTCCCAGGTGGGTGCAGGGGCCTAAGGACTTGGACCATGTTTTACTGCTTTTCCAGCCATAGCAGAGAGCTGGATTGGAAGTGGAGCAGCCGGGACTTAAACCAGCACCCAAATGGGATGATGGCACTGAAGGCAGCGGCTTTACCCACCACAGCACCAGCCCCATATTAATGAGTCTAACTTTCAAAATCCTTTTAATGCACATTCAAGCAATTTCTAAGTTTTCCACTATTTCAAACAATGCTGTATTGAAAAGTCTCCTTTAAGTAATTTCTACTTTTTTTAAAAGACTGCTATATTGAAAACTCTGTGTGTATCTTTATACACTTGTGCCAACATTATGTGTAAGAACTTTGGGGTGCATGAATATGGTACTTTAAATAGAAAGAAATGCCTAACTGCCCTCCAGAATGTCTACACAAACAGTGTGTGTGACTGTACATGTGATATTCACTATTGGTTTAAGTCAAAGAAAACTGATTTGTGTAACATGACAAAATATAAACTCGAATAGCCTATAATGAAGTTTAAAGAATTTCTAGATGAAAATTTAAACTGTAGAACATGTTACAAGTAGTCGGTTTAAACAACAACTGTGTCTCCTTCCCTTTCTTGGAGTCAGCAGGTAGAGACAGATGGAACGAGGTAGTCCTGTGATGGAAGGGAGGATGAGGAGCTGCACGACGCTTCAAAACCCTATGCGCCTGGTGGCTGGACTGTGGCACACAAGGGACAGTGACTCAGCTGCCATGACAGGCAGCCGAGCCTCAGACTCTGTACGCATTTGGGGATCTGAACTTCATCTCAACTGTAACAGACAAGTAGAGGACTTTAGGCACAAAAAGATGTTTCTACCCTGAAATGAAATATGAAGTTCCTGAAATTAGTGACTAACGGTGGCTTGAACTAAGGATTGTGCCACTCGAGATGCAAGGAAGTAGATGGCAAAGATATATGTGGTTACGGTGGATCAGCAGGACTTGCTAATGACAGGCTGGATGTGGGAGTGAGGAAGAAGGATTTAAGGAAGATTCCTAAATTTCTGGCTTAAGTAACTGGGTAGAAAGGCGTTACCACTTATACCTGGAGAAAACCAGAAGTCCTGGAGAACCAGAAGCTGGTTTTGGACACGACATGCAGGAGGCCCCTGCGTGTTGAGTGCCACGCAGACATCTGTACAAACAGGACTGAGGAGTTCAGAGGAGGGGACGGACTAGAGGTGATCCAAATACTTAAAGACATGGGAGTACATGTGCGCAGGATTAAGTCTCAGGTCTGGGCCCAACACTTCTGAACCCGAAGAGACTCATCTTCTTTTTAAAATCACCTCATACCAACTCAAAAGTACCAGGCTGAGGAGAGGAAGGGATTGAGATTGCAAAACTCAACCAGAGAACACGCAGTTGGTAAACAAACATGACCACAGGCCCTCGGCACGATGGTAAAGAATTACCTTGAGATGCACTGTCGAAGGACTTGATGAGGGTTTTCACCGTAGGGGTTGGCTCTGAGGAAGTCGAGGATCTTCTACTCAGCCCCATTCCCTGCCGCAGGGCTGCCAGATCCCTCTCCACAGCATTCATGTAGTTGTACACTCGGCCTCGCTCCTCCTCTTGCCTGAAACCAACATCAAAGTTGGCGCATTTTACCATATGGATAAGAAAATATACATTCCCCACCCCCAATTGAAAAACATTAAAAGGTATAACTTTTTAAAACATTGTATCAGGGGCCAGCACTGTGGCATAGTGGGTAAAGCCATGGCCTGGAGTGTAGGTATCCCAGTTTGAGTCCTGTCTACTCCATTTCTGATCCAGCTCTCTGCTGTGGCCTGGGAAAGCAGTAGAAGATGGCCCAAGTCCTTGGGCCCCTGCACCCATGTGGGAGACCCAGAAGAAGCTCCTGGCTCCTGGCTTCAGATGGGTACAGCTCCAGCTGTTGTAGCCATCTTGGAAGTGAACCAGTGGATGGAAGACCTCTCTCTCTCTCTCTCTGTTTCTGCCTCTCTCTAGTTCTGCCTTTCAAATAAAACAAATCTTTTTAAAAAATTGTATCAGTTGGGACAAGTATTTGGCCTAGTGGTTAGGATGCCTATATCTGATATGAGTGCCTGAGTTTGATTCCCAACTAAAGATCCTGACTCCAGCTTCCTGCTGATACAGACCCAAGGAGGAAGTGGTGATGACTGAAGTCACTGGGTCCTGAACACCTATGTGGGAGATCTAGATTAGATTCCTAGCATATGGTCACCAGTTTGATTCCCGGCTGCTCCACTTCTGATCCAGCTGCCTGCCAATGGCTTGGGAAAGCAACAGAGAATGGCCCAAGTGCTTGGGCTCCTGCACCCACATGGGAGACCTGGAAGAAGTTCCTGGCTCCTGACTTTGGACAGTCCCAGCTCTGGCTGCTGCAGCCATTTGGGGAGTGAACCAGCAGATGGAAGATCTCTCTGTATCTCTTCCTCTCTCTCTCTGCCTTTCAAATAAATAAATAGTAAATCCAGGACTTAGTAATGATTATTTATATAAAACATTCCAGAACAAACATAATTTAGTAAGAAGAATAAGCAGAGCTTTAAATTTTTAAATATCTCCTTAACATCTGGCTTACAAAACAGATTCTCATCTCTTCTGAATTCAATCCACTGAAGTATGAAAACAGCAGGTCTCTTAAGGATGTATACACAGAAAAGGGAAAAATATATTAACAGCCTTAGGTAACTGTGGCTGTTCTATGAAAATGCAACAAGTAGTAGTCACTTAAAAGTTGCACTGTGTGGGGCCAGCACTGTGGCATAGTGGATTAAGCATCCACCTGTAGTACCCACATCCCATATGGGTGCCGGCTGCTCCACTTCTAATTCAGCTCTCTGCTGATGGCCTGGGAAAATAGAAGAGGATGGCCCAAGTGCTTGGAAAACCTGGAGGAACCTCCTGGCTCCTGGCTTTGGACCGGCCCAGCTCCAGCCATTGCTTTGCTGCTATTTGGGGAGTGAACCAGAGTGGAAGACGTCTCTGTCCTTCCCTCTTTCTGTCTGTAATTCTGCCTCTCAAATAAGTAACTCCTTAAAAACAAAACAAAACAAAAACATTGCACTGTGGAATCTGAAACCACGTAAACAAACTTTTCCTATTCTGCTCATTAAAATCCACTGCTCTACCTTGTACCTTGAATGGATCTTTCATCCATACATGACCATGTAAGACATGCATAGGTCATAAGGAAAATACCGGGTCACTGAGTTACACAGATTTTCCAAATGCCTGTCATTATATAATATATATTTTTAAATCACATGTGTTAAAGTCACCAATGATCTCATCGGACAACTCTTTCAACATGGGAAGCTGCCAAGCCTGCAACTGCAGATATGAATTTTCCAAAATCCTTCTGTTCACTGGGAAGTCCAGTTTTACCAACGCACAAACACTGTAACCTGTTCTCCAGGAAGTAACACTCTCTCTTCATCATTCTCAAGAGGCATCCACCAAACACCAAAGTCTGAACATGCAGCTGTCTGCCAGTTACTGCCAGGGAAAATGGTGGCTCACACAGGACTCTCCTCAAGCCAAGCCCACGTGGCGGTACGCAGCACACGCAGCTCTCCCCGCCTTATCACAATAGCATTAGAAGACACATCCCGGACTGAGATTCAGCGCAACTAATAATTTACTGCTTCATCAAGGACATCTTGAAGCAAAACCCACACTGCTTTTCAAATGCAAATGTGTGGCACTGAAGACTGTCAGTGACTAGACATGTAACGTGGTGCCACCAAAGCCTCGATTCTTCAGCAGTTTACGTCTGTCTTCCACTCTCAGGGCCTGAGTCAGCATAGTGAGACAAGTAAACATGTCAGTACTGTGGAAACAGTCTGACAACCTCAGGAGGCTACAGACCTCAAGAAGCACAGTGCCACAAGACGCTATCACCTCCAGGGGAAACTTCTTTTAAACAGGTCTCAAAGGCTGAGGAGCTTCCCGGATCCAATGGAATGTTCCCTTTCAAGTATTCAGGGGGCCGGCGCCGCGGCTCACTAGGCTAATCCTCCGCCTAGCGGCGCCAGCACACCGGGTTCTAGTCCCGGTAGGGGCTCCGGATTCTGTCCCGGTTGCCCCTCTTCCAAGCCAGCCCTCTGCTGTGGCCAGGGAGTGCAGTGGAGGATGGCCCAGGTGCTTGGGCCCTGCACCCCATGGGAGACCAGGAAAAGCACCTGGCTCCTGGCTCCTGCCATCGGATCAGCGCGGTGCGCCGGCCGCAGCGCGCCAACCGCGGTGGCCATTGGAGGGTGAACCAACGGCAAAGGAAGACCTTTCTCTCTGTCTCTCTCTCTCACTGTCCACTCTGCCTGTCAAAAAAAAAAAAAAATAATAAATAAATAAATAAAATAAAATAAAAAAGTATTCAGGGGACCAGCGTTGTGGTGAAGCAGGTTAAGTCCCAGCCTGCTGCGCCAGCATCCCATATGGGTGCCGGTTGGAGTCCCATTGTTCCACTTTAGATCCAGCTCCCTGCTAACGCATCTGGGAAAGCAGAGGGGGATGGCCCAAGTTCTTGGGGCCCTGAACCCACGTGGGAGAAACAGAAGAAGCTCCTGGCTCCTGGCTTTGGCCTGGCCCAGCCCCAGTCATTGAGGCCATTTGGGAAGTAAACCAGCAGATGCAAGATCTCTCTCTGCCTCTCCTTCTCTAACTCTGCCTTTCAAGGGAGGGAAAAAAAAAGTAGGCTTTCAGGAGCAGCTTCATGGTTAAAACACCCATGTCTCACATCAGAGAGATATGAGCGGGGGAAAAAATGCTAACGTGCAGATTCATGTGGCATAAGATAAAATAAGTGAAAATTCCTCAGGCGATGGAAACTCCCTTTGCATTTTTCTTTTTCTTTTGTTTCTTGCATTTTTTTGTATTTCCATTTTTTCCTTGGGTTTCCAAAAATACTACCTGAATATTCTGGTTATTGTCCTGAGCATTTTGTAGGCATTATCTTATTAAATCCTTGCAAGAACACTGTAAAGCAAGTGGTACAGTCTCCATTCTAAATGTGAAATAACTGAGGCTTGGGAAGTTCATGTTGCTCACCCAGAGCACACAGCTGGTAAGAGGCAGAGCTAGGCAGGAGCAAGTTGGTCTGCCTCCAGAGGCCACATTCTTAATCACAAGGCGACCATCTAAAGAAAAGTAGCAGGACTGGATGGTGGGGACAGAGGAAAGGCAAGATCACAACATTCCCTGTGCCAGGGACCACGTCAGCTCCCTCAAGGTCATCCATCATTAGCTGGACCAGTGACTTTGAAATGTGATACTTTACAGGTGTCACAAAAGGAGGCCCAGAAAAGCTTAGTAACTTCCACTAGATCCAAATTCAGTAGGGTCAGACCCTACATCTTGGGTCCCGCGGCACGGCAAAGCAGGTTAAGCCACTGCCTATGACACCAACATCCCATACAGAGTGCCAATTTGAATTCTGGCTGCTTCACTTTGGATCCAGCTCCTTGCTAATAATGCACGGGGCAAAGTAGCAGGAGATGACTCAAGTGCTTGGGCTCCTGTCACCCACATGAAAGACCTGGATGGAGTTGTAGGCTCCTGGCCATTGCAGCCATTTGGGGGAATGAACCAGTGCATGGAAGCCCTCTCTCTCTGTATCACTCTGCCTTTCAAATAAATAAAATAAATCTTAAAAAAAAAAAAAAAAAAAAGAAAAGAGAAAAAACCACCACCCACATTCTTTCCATGACACCACATCACACAGCCTGGACCTAAGTGTCCTCTACTGCAGCCGAAGCACACAGTGAGTTCCTCAGAACATACTTGCGTGACTTGATTTCCTCCAGCTCTTTCGTGAGTTTCTCATTTTTCTCTTGAGCCTCATGGAGCCGGCGCTTCAGATCGCCAATCTCTTCCTGGGCTTCGGATTTAATGTCATTGGCAATGACCACCGCAGTCTGGAGGTCAGCCTGAAACTGCCGCCATTCCGCAGATTCTTCCTATATCAAAAACAAAACAAAAACACTTTATTTCCAAAAGACAGCAATGAAAATTTATTTCAAAGCAATAAAATTCGCTTATGATTAGATTGCAATAATGTCCTATATGCCCAAAAGGATCACTGATTTTTTTTTAATCCCTTAGAATTACTATTAGCTATTTATAACAGGCAAAGCACCTATTGTGAGTGAACCTGTCAACAAGGGAAAGATTTCCTAGCAGACCTGCGTATGAGGCATCCAGAAACACTCAGAGCACCCAATAAATGTCAATGAGAATAAGGTAAAGCCTCCCCCCTCACACAAGTTTCAAAGCAACCTTATAAAAATAAACATCATCCAATATTTAGAGCTGTAACTCTGAAAAGCTCAGGAAGGTATATAAATGGTATGTGAACCATACAGTGAAAAACTATAAATATCCTGACATCAAAAACTAAAGGGAAAAAAAAATCAAAAGTAAAGGAAAAGGAAGAGGAAGCCAGAATAAAAACACGAACTCAATATAGACATACAAAGCTATACAAAGAGTAAGAACTGCACGGTCTGCTGCTTCCCACAGCCATGGAGGATGCGGGTGTGGCTGGGGGGAGACGTCTCCCCAGCGTCTCCCCTCCACCAGGGCCACAGCTGGGCCACGCCTGGGCCCAGCACTCTCTCACCCACAGAGTGATTTTCTGACATCACGGAAGCAGCCGGAGTAACTTCGGCAGGACCAGAACTGTGAGATCAGCCTTCTCGCCCTCACCTCTGCATCACAGTGGCACTGCTGTTGGCAAGCCAATCAAACCCACAGGAAAACAGCTTAGTTTTGGATATTTTATAATCAAAAGACAATAAACTTTCCAAAATACAACACTTGTCTCCTGAATCCATCATCCTAAAAGTACTGACCATAAATTATTTGTACATTCTTCTACCTAAAGCCTAGCCCCAGTCCTGGTTTAAAAGCAAAGTATTTGCTTTCAGCACCAAATCCAATGGGGTCAGCACTGTCCTTGTATCCACAGCTTAGGGCTAACCACACATGCTCAATGACAACACTTCAAATTGCAGAAAACCATGTGTTCTGATGAGATACACAAAGACGCATCCTACCCGGAGTCTCCTGTGCAGTGTCTTGATTTCTCTTTCCATGTCATGTTTTTGGTCCTGGAGCTTTTTAACTGTATCTGAAAAGACCGAGAGAGGTGGTACTTAAGTATGACATTCCAAAAAAGTTATCCTGCCCAAAAGAATTCTTAAATTTTAATACAAAACTTCATTTTTATTATTTTAATTATAATTTTTTATTTGAAAGAGTTACAGAGAGTTCTTCCATCTGTTGGTTCACATCGCAAATGGCTGCAATGGTGGGGCTGGGCCAGGCCAAACCCAGGAGCCTGGAACTCCATCTGGGTCTCCTGTGTGGGTGGCGGGAGCCCAAGTACTTGGGTCATCTTCCGCTGTTTTCCCAGGTGCATTAGTAGGGAGCTAAATTGGAAGTAGAGCAGCCAGGACTCAAACCAGCACTTATATGGGATGCTGGTATCACAGCTGGCGGCTTAACCTGCTGTGCCACAAGGCCAGCCTCAGTACAAAACTTTAAAAGAAGAAATGTCAGGGGCCTGGGAAAGCTGCAGAAGATGGCCCAAGTACCTGGGTTCCTGCCTGCCATGAGGGAGACCCAGATAGGTTTCAGGCTCCTGTCCTGTTGCAGTCATTTATGGAGTGAACAAGAGATGGAAGACTGAGCTCTCTCTCCCTCTCTTTTTCTCTCTGTTAACTCTGCCTTTCAAATAAGTAAAGTAAATTTTTTAAAAAGACTGTTCAACCAACATTACTTTCTAAGAAAAAGATCAAGTTTACAAAAATCAATTACTGGATTGCTTCCTTCCTCATTTAATTCTGAAGCAAAAAAAAAATTAAATAAAATCCTTAGAAACACACATATTATTGGCTCATAACCAATCAGACCAACACTGACTGCTAATAAAATGTGAGCTTTTAATCATAAGGGTTATTAATCTAAACTACTTATGCAAGCATAATTTACTTTAAGTTTCAGAGAAGTGGTGAATCAGTAAAATTAATTATATAATGCCCAAGGGAGCTGGAATTTAAATTAATTCTACAGGGGTGGGCACCATGGCACAGCAGGTTAAGCTGCCGTTTGGGACCCCACAACTCACATCACAGTGTGCTGGTTCGAGTCCCAGCTACTCCATGCTTCTGATCCACCTTCCTGCCAATGCACCCAGGAACAGTGGAGAATGGTCCACGTACTTGGGTGCCTGCCACCCATATAGGAGAGCTAGATGGAGTTCCTGGCTCCTGGCTTCAGCCTGGCCTAGTTTCAGTTGATGTGGGTATTTAAAGAGTGAACCAGGTGGCCGGCGCCGTGGCTCAATAGGCTAATCCTCCACCTTGCAGCGCCGGCACACCGGGTTCTAGTCCCAGTCGGGGGGCCGGATTCTGTCCCAGTTGCCCCTCTTCCAGGCCAGCTCTCTGCTGTGGCCAGAGAAGTGCAGTGAAGGATGGCCCAAGTGCTTGGGCCCTGCACCCCATGGGAGACCAGGAGAAGCACCTGGCTTCTGCCTTCAGATCAGCGCGGTATGCCAGCCACAGCGTGCTGGCTGCGGTGGCCATTGGAGAGTGAACCAATGGCAAAAGGAAGACCTTTCTCTCTGTCTCTCACACTGTCCACTCTGCCTGTCAAAAAAATAAAAAAAATAAAAAGAGTGAACCAGGCTGGTGCTGCGGCTCACTTGGCTAGGCCTCCGCCTGCGGCGCCGGCACCCCGGGTTCTAGTCCCAGTTGGGGCGCCAGATTCCGTCCCGGTTGTTCCTCTTCCAGTCCAGCTTTCTGCTGTGGCCCGGGAGTGCAGTGGAGGAAGGCCCAGGTGCTTGGGCCCTGCACCCACATGGGAGACCAGGAGGAGGTACCTGGCTCCTGGCTTCGGATCGGCGCAATGCACCGGCCGCAGCGCACCGGCTGTGGCAGCCATTTGAGGGATGAACCAACGGAAAAAGGAAGACCTTTCTCTCTCACTGTCTAACTCTGCCTGTCAAAAAATAAAAATAAAAAAAAAAAAAGAGTGAACCAGCAGACAAAGGATATCTCTCTGATTCTTCTTCTCTCCGCCTTTCAAATAAATAAGTCTTTATTTTTCAAATAAATCAATTTTATGGACATTTTTATAAATAATATGTATATGATAAGTCAATTACTTCTCAAATTATTTTTGCATAATATGGAATTTTTAGAACAATTTTAATCACCCTGTAAACTTTAAAAAAAAAATCTCATGAACACCAGCAATATGAAAAGAACCATTCTAGACATAGACAGAGTGGCGATACAAAGATAAAGCCTAGCACAGGCCAGTCTCCTTGGAACCAGAAACAGAAAAAAGAAGTCACAGGGGCCAGTGTTGTGGCATAGCAGATAAAGCTGCTGCTTTTGACACTGGCATCCCACATAGGTGCCAGCTGGACTTGCTATCCTGCTCCCTGCTAATGTACCTGGGTGAGTATCGGGGAATGGCCCAAGTGTCTGAGCCCTGCACTTACATGGGAGATTCACTGGAAGCTCTTAGCTCGAGGCTTTGGCCTGCCCAGCCTGGCTGCTGTGGACATTTGGGGAGTGAACCAGTGCATAGACGATCTCTCTGTCTCTCCCCCTCTTTCTACATAACTCTGCCCTTCAGATAAATAAAACAAATTTTTTTTAAGATTTATTTTATTTGAAAGAGTTACAGAGAGAGGTAGAGACAGAGAGAAAGAGGTCTTCCATCTACTGGTTCACTCCCCAAATGGCCGTAATTGGAGCTGAGCAGATCCGAAGTCAGGAGCCAGGAGCTTCATCTAGGTCTCCCACGTGGGTGCAGGGATCCAAGGACTTGGGCCATCTGCTACTGCTTTCCCAGGCACATTTACAGAGAGCTGGATCGAAGTAGAGCAACCAGGACTCAAACTAGCACCCACATGGAATGCTGGCATTATAGATCAGGGCTTTAACCTGCTGTGCCACAGCGCTGGCTCCTAAAACAAATCTTTAAAAAAAAGGGGGGAGGGGGCCAGTGCTGTGGCATATCGGGTAGAGCCACCTCCTGTAGTGCCAGCAGCCCATATGGGCACCAGTTTAGGTCCCAGCAGCTCCACTTCCGATCCAGCTCTCTGCTGTGGTCTGGGAAAGCAGTAGAAGATGGCTCATCCACTTGGGAGACCCAGAAGAAGCTCCTGGCTCCTGGCTTCAGATGGGTACAGCTCCAGCCATTGTTGTCATCTGGTGAGTGAACCAGCAGATACAAGACCTTTCTCTCTCTCTCTGCCTTCCAAATAAATAAATAAATCTTAAAAAAGAAAGAAAGAAAGAAAGAAAGAAAGAAAGAAAGAAAGAAAGAAAGAAAGAAAGAAAGAAAGAAAGAAAGAGAAGTCACGTTCTATTTGGAGGTTCTGCTCTAAAATCCATGTGAGGTAGTGTGTGTTGTGAGGCAACAGATTAAGCCTCTGCTCAGAGGGCCATATCTCACATCTCTGGTTCAAGTTTTGGCTACTCCCTGCTTTCTTTCTTTTTTTTTTTAATATAAAATAAATCTTTTTTTTAAAGACTTATTTTATTTATTTGAAAGAGTTACAGAGAGAGGTAGAGAAAGAGAGAAATGTCTTCCATCTGCTGGTTCACTCCCAAGATGGCCCAACAGCCGGAGCTGCGCCGTTCCGAAGCCAGGAGCCAGGACCTTCTTCCAGGTCTCCCACGTGGGTGCAGTGGCCCAAGGACTTGGGCCATCTTCTACTGCTAACCCAGGCCATAGCAGAGAGCTGGATCAGAATAGGAGCAGCAGGGACTAGAACCAGCACCCATATGGGATGCCGGCGCTTCAAGCCAGGGTGGTAACCCACTGTGCTACAGCACCAGCCCCTCCCTGCTTTCAATACTAATGCACCTGGGAGACAGTAGATGAAGACCAAAATGCTTGAGTCCCTGACACTCATGTAAGAGACCTGGATGGAGTTCCAGGCTCCTGGCTTCAGCCTGGTCCAGCTCAGTGTTGCAGGCATTTAGGAAGTGAACTAGAGGATGGAAGCAGGCTCTCACTCTCGTTCTGTCATTCTGCTTTTCAAATAAATAAGTCTTTTTTTAAAAATTGACAGATGAGTTAGACAGTGAGACAGAGAGACAGAGAGAAAGGTCTTCCTTCCATTGGTTCACCCCCTAAATGGCCGCTATAGCCGGAGCTACGCTGATCTGAAGCCAGCAGCCAGGTGCCTCCTCCCGGTCTCCCATGCGGGTACAGGGGCTCAAGGACTTGGGCCATCCTCCACTGCCTTCCCGGGCCACAGCAGAGAGCTAGACTGGAAGAGGAGCAGCCAGGACTACAACCTGGTGTCCATATGGGATGCCAGTGCTACAAGCAGAGGATTAGCCAAGTAAGCCATGGCGCCAGCCTAAATAAGTCTTTTAAAACAAATAAGTAAATAATAACTATGCTGAAGGGGGAAATGCCAAAAGGGAGCGCCATGCTGGTAACTGTCACTCAAGTCTGCCACAGCTGGCTACTCTGACAGCCCAGGAATCAATCACTTTCTGTTCTGGTTAAACACCAGACAAGGCACTCACTGACTGGTATAATAGAGACAAATCCTTTATTCGTGCCTGATGGAACAAAGACATAAGCCTCAGCCACTCTCACTCATTGCCCAAAAGAAAGATAAACACTGGAATTTATTCTGTGCCCTTGAATCTCAGTTGGGTCTCATGCCCTGTTGCTTTTATACACCTGCATTCTTTCCTAGGTTCCCAAGGCCCTGCACACCCACCTGAAAGACCAGTTCCAGGAATTCTCCTCCGCCTGCTGCCCCTTACCCCCACCCCCATCCCTAGCCTTCCCGACCTTGGGGTCAGGGCCTTCTGCCACATGTTCCATCAATGTGGATGCTGGCAGTTGGTCAGCCACCTCTACAAATTTATTTTCTCTGAATAAATTCGGTGTGGCTGCAGATTCATAAACTGCCTCCTCTCTATTCTCTGCCGCTTTTCCTAACGTTTTTGGTGCCCCATGTGAGGAGCCTCTTTTCCTAACAGTGCCCCCTCCCTAGTCCATCCCAGCTTTTTCCCTGTGTTCCAACTCTGCCTTGTACAGCCTTCCCATGAGCTGCTGCCAACATGATCACATTTCTTTGCACATCTG